GAATTGGATGTATTTACACTTTTGTGTGAATTGGATGTATTTATAGGTTTGTGTGAATTGGATGTATTAATAGGTTTGTGTGAATTGGATGTATTTTCGGGGTTTGTGTGAATTGGATGTATTTACATTTTTGTGTGAATTGGATGTTTTTACTTTTTAGTGTGAATTGGGTGTATTTACATTTTTGTATGAATTGGATATATTTACAGGTGTGTGTGAATTGGATGTATTTACATTTTTGTATGAATTGGATGTATTTATAGGTTTGTTTGAATTGGATGTATTTTCAGGTTTGTGTGAATTGGATGTATTTACAGGTTTGTGTGAATTGGATGTATTTAGATTTTTGTGTGAATTGGATGTATTTAGATTTTTGTGTGAATTGGATGGATTTACAGGTTTGTGTGAATTGGATGTATTTACATTTTTGTGTGAATTGGATGTATTTTTATGTTTGTTTGAATTGGATGGATTTACATGTTTGTGTGAATTTAATGTATTTATAGGTTTGAATGAATTTGATGTATTTACAGGTTTGTTTGAATTGGATGTATTTCTAGGTTTGTGTGAATTGGATGAATTTTCAGGTTTGTGTGAATTGGATGTATTTACAGGTTTGTCTGAATTTGATGTATTTACATTTTTGTGTGAATTGGATGTATTTACTTTTTTGTGTGAATTGGATGTATTTACATTTTTGTGTGAAATGGATGTATTTACATTTTTGTATGAATTGGATGTATTTACATTTTTTGTGTGAATTTGATGTATTTATAGGTTTGTATGAATTGGATGTATTTTCAGGTTTGTGTGAATTGGATGTATTTACATTTTTGTGTGAATTGGATGTATTTACTTTTTTGTGTGAATAGGATGTATTTACATTTTTGTATGAATTGGATATATTAACATGTTTGTGTGAATTGGATGTATTTACATTTTTGTGTGAATTGGATGTATTTACAGGTTTGTGTTAATTAGATGTATTTACATTTTTGTGTGAATTGGATGTATTTACATTTTTGTATGAATTTGATGTATTTATAGGTTTGTGTGAATTGGATGTATTTTCAGGTTTGTATGAATTGGATGTATTTACAGGTTTGTGTGAATTGGATGTATTTACATTTTTGTGTGAAATGGATGTATTTACAGGTTTGTGTGAATTGGATGTATTTACATTTTTGTGTGAATTGGATGTATTTACTTTTTTGTGTGAATTGGATGTATTTACATTTTTGTATGAATTGGATGTATTTATAGGTTTGTTTGAATTGGATGTATTTTCAGGTTTGTGTGAATTGGATGTATTTTCAGGTTTGTGTGAATTGGATGTATTTACAGGTGTGTGTGAATTGGATGTATTTACATTTTTGTATGAATTGGATGTATTTATAGGTTTGTTTGAATTGGATGTATTTTCAGGTTTGTGTGAATTGGATGTATTTACAGGTTTGTGTGAATTGGATGTATTTACAGGTGTGTGTGAATTGGATGTATTTAGATTTTTGTGTGAATTGGATGGATTTACAGGTTTGTGTGAATTGGATGTATTTACATTTTTGTGTGAATTGGATGTATTTTTATGTTTGTTTGAATTGGATGGATTTACATGTTTGTGTGAATTGATGTATATACATTTTTGTGTGAATTTAATGTATTTATAGGTTTGAATTAATTTGATGTATTTACAGGTTTGTTTGAATTGGATGTATTTCTAGGTTTGTGTGAATTGGATGTAGTTTCAGGTGTGTGTGAATTGGATGTATTTACAGGTTTGTCTGAATTTGATGTATTTACATTTTTGTGTGAATTGGATGTATTTACATTTTTGTGTGAAATGGATGTATTTACATTTTTGTATGAATTGGATGTATTTACATTTTTTGTGTGAATTTGATGTATTTATAGGTTTGTATGAATTGGATGTATTTTCAGGTTTGTGTGAATTGGATGTATTTACATTTTTGTATGAATTGGATGTATTAACATGTTTGTGTGAATTGGATGTATTTACATTTTTGTGTGAATTGGATGTATTTACAGGTTTGTGTTAATTAGATGTATTTACATTTTTGTGTGAATTGGATGTATTTACATTTTTGTATGAATTGGATGTATTTATAATTTATAGGTTTGTGTGAATTGGATGTATTTTCAGGTTTGTATGAATTGGATGTATTTACAGGTTTGTGTGAATTGGATGTATTTACATTTTTGTGTGAATTGGATGTATTTACAGGTTTGTGTGAATTGGATGTATTTACATTTTTGTGTGAATTGGATGTATTTACTTTTTGTGTGAATTGGATGTATTTACTTTTTGTGTGAATTGGATGTATTACAGGTTTGTGTGAATTGGGTGTATTTACAGGTTTGTCTAAATTTTTATGTATTTACATTTTTGTGTGAATTGGATGTATTTACTTTTTTGTGTGAATTGGATGTATTTACATTTTTGTGTGAAATGGATGTATTTACATTTTTGTATGAATTGGATGTATTTACATTCTTTTGTGTGAATTTGATGTATATATAGGTTTGTATGAATTGGATGTATTTTCAGGTTTGTGTGAATTGGATGTATTTACATTTTTGTATGAATTGGATATATTAACATGTTTGTGTGAATTGGATGTATTTACATTTTTGTGTGAATTGGATGTATTTACAGGTTTGTGTTAATTAGATGTATTTACATTTTTGTGTGAATTGGATGTATTTATAGGTTTGTGTGAATTGGATGTATTTTCAGGTTTGTATGAATTGGATGTATTTACAGGTTTGTGTGAATTGGATGTATTTACAGGTTTGTGTGAATTGGATGTATTTACTTTTTTGTGTGAATTGGATGTATTTACTTTTTGTGTGAATTGGATGTATTTACTTTTTGTGTGAATTGGATGTATTACAGGTTTGTGTAAATTGGATGTATTTACTTTATTGTGTGAATTGGATGTATTTATAGGTTTGTTTGAATTGGATGTATTTACAGGTTTGTGTGAATTGGATGTATTTACATTTTTGTGTGAACTGGATGTATTTACATTTTTATGTGAATTGGATGTATTTATAGGTTTGAATGAATTGGATGTATTTACAGGTTTGTGTGAACTGGATGTATTTTCAGGTTTGTGTGAATTGGATGTATTTACATTTTTGTGTGAATTGGATGTATTTACATTTTTATGTGAATTGGATGTATTTATAGGTTTGAATGAATTTGATGTATTTACAGGTTTGTTTGAATTGGATGTATTTCTAGGTTTGTGTGAATTTGATGTATTTTCAGGTTTGTGTGAATTGGATGTATTTACATTTTTGTGTGAATTGGATGTATTTACATTTTTGTGTGAAATGGATGTATTAATAGGTTTGTGTGAATTGGATGTATTTTCGGGATTTGTGTGAATTGGATGTATTTTCGGGGTTTGTGTGAATTGTATGTATTTAGAGGTTTGTGTGAATTGGATGTATTTACACTTTTGTGTGAATTGGATGTATTAATAGGTTTGTGTGAATTGGATGTATTTTCGGGGTTTGTGTGAATTGGATGTATTTACATTTTTGTGTGAATTGGATGTTTTTACTTTTTAGTGTGAATTGGGTGTATTTACATTTTTGTATGAATTGGATATATTTACAGGTGTGTGTGAATTGGATGTATTTACATTTTTGTATGAATTGGATGTATTTATAGGTTTGTTTGAATTGGATGTATTTTCAGGTTTGTGTGAATTGGATGTATTTACAGGTTTGTGTGAATTGGATGTATTTAGATTTTTGTGTGAATTGGATGTATTTAGATTTTTGTGTGAATTGGATGGATTTACAGGTTTGTGTGAATTGGATGTATTTACATTTTTGTGTGAATTGGATGTATTTTTATGTTTGTTTGAATTGGATGGATTTACATGTTTGTGTGAATTTAATGTATTTATAGGTTTGAATGAATTTGATGTATTTACAGGTTTGTTTGAATTGGATGTATTTCTAGGTTTGTGTGAATTGGATGAATTTTCAGGTTTGTGTGAATTGGATGTATTTACAGGTTTGTCTGAATTTGATGTATTTACATTTTTGTGTGAATTGGATGTATTTACTTTTTTGTGTGAATTGGATGTATTTACATTTTTGTGTGAAATGGATGTATTTACATTTTTGTATGAATTGGATGTATTTACATTTTTTGTGTGAATTTGATGTATTTATAGGTTTGTGTGAATTGGATGTATTTTCAGGTTTGTGTGAATTTGATGTATTTACATTTTTGTGTGAATTGGATGTATTTACTTTTTTGTGTGAATTGGATGTATTTACATTTTTGTATGAATTGGATATATTAACATGTTTGTGTGAATTGGATGTATTTACATTTTTGTGTGAATTGGATGTATTTACAGGTTTGTGTTAATTAGATGTATTTACATTTTTGTGTGAATTGGATGTATTTACATTTTTGTATGAATTGGATGTATTTATAGGTTTGTGTGAATTGGATGTATTTTCAGGTTTGTATGAATTGGATGTATTTACAGATTTGTGTGAATTGGATGTATTTACATTTTTGTGTGAATTGGATGTATTTACAGGTTTGTGTGAATTGGATGTATTTACATTTTTGTGTGAATTGGATGTATTTACTTTTTGTGTGAATTGGATGTATTTACTTTTTGTGTGATTGGATGTATTACAGGTTTGTGTAAATTGGATGTATTTACTTTATTGTGTGAATTGGATGTATTTATAGGTTTGTTTGAATTGGATGTATTTACAGGTTTGTGTGAATTGGATGTATTTACAGGTTTGTGTAAATTGAATGTATTTACACTTTTTGTGTGAATATGATGTATTTATAGGTTTATGTGTGTTGTTTATAGCAATTATTTTTTTGGTTTTAACTTATTACTTATAACTACATCATAAATGATGTTTGCATGTTTAAAATTTAACAATAATAGCATCATTTATTATTCAAAGATATTATTAAAAGAATTTACCATAATATGTTCTCCAGTAAATATAATCCAGAATGACAACAACATGGCATAGAAAGCCCCCTGTCTGATGTCATTCAACAGCAGCATGAAGGGAATATTCAACCAAAATGTCAACCATTCAATGGGTACTGAAAAATAAGCACTGGCATATCTAAACCCTTATGTCATATACAGAGAAATATATATGTTTATGACTTACATGAGATATAATCCTTTATAAAAGTCGACTATCAAAGTCACTATGCCAGACAGACAGGCACACATATAACCGGTATATTTAAATATATAGATGATCTCTTATAATTTTAGAGTACAATTTTTATGTGTTGTAATGCTTTAAAAGGGCAACTTAGATTTTCTCTGCTACATAAATTAAAGAATATTAGAAATACATTTGAAAGATGACAAGCTTCTTTTTGACAGTGCAAGGAAATCTATAGTTTCTGTTTATGCATGTAAACTGTAAAAAACACCTGTCTGTAATACTATCAGACACATTAACAGAGAATGTAAAATATATAATGTTGAAAACATTTCAATTCATAAGTATAGGAAACAAACACTTTTTACTCTTCATTATGAATTTGTTATTTCTTAATCAATAAATGTTTGCCATAAAAATGAGTAACTTACAGTTTAATATTGACATTGTTATTCCCAAAGCAAACAGTGTTCTGAAAATAAAAAATAAATAAATGGGGAATGTGTCCATGGGGCACAGATGATGCCCCTGCTTGCATAAAACATTATAAAGGGACATAACTCAAGAACAGTAAACGTGACGTTACCCAAATTGTACTTGATCTGAGTTTTGTAGTAATAAGCATTGTGTATAAGTTTCATATTTTTGGTTGAGGCAAACTAAAGTAAGAGAACGGAAATGAAAAATTCAGCAATTTTTTCGATTTTGAAGGGGCATAACTCTAGAACGGTAAAAGTGACGCCACTAAAATTCAAGCTTGATCTGTGTTTTGTGGTAATAAGCATTGTGTTTAAGTTTCATAACATTTGGTTGAGGCAAACTAAAGTTAGAGAACGGAAACGAAAAATTAAGCAATTTTTCCATTTGTAAAGGGGCATAACTCTAGAACATTAAAAGTGACGCCACCAAATTTCAATCTTGATCTGTGTTTTGTGGTAATATGCATTGCGTATAAGTTTCATAAAATTTGGTTGAGGCAAACTCAAGTTAGAGAACGGAAACCAATTTTGGGAAGTATGGACGGACGTACAGACGGACAAGGGTAAAACTTAAAGCCCCCTCCGCTACAGTGGGGGCATAAATAAAAATGTCTTCAATTTAACAGTATAAGAATATGACTGAGTGTTATCAATATACATTATGGGACACTATGTATAACAATAGTAAGTAGAATGTTAATCTTCTGAAAATTACTTGTCAGACAGAACTATTCTGAGAGCAAATCAAAATGATAGCTTTAATGCCTTTCTTGACATTATAATGTTACTCTAATCAACAATTCTGACTTTCTGCATTTTCTTAAATGCCAAATTAGAATGATAGGTTTAGTGTTTTATATAAAAATAAGAGGATGTGGTATGTTTGCCAATGAGACAACTCTTCACCAGAGACCAAATGATGTAGAAGTTAACAACTATAGGTCACTGTATGGACTTCAACAATGAGCAACCCCATACCGCATAACATGTCCTACTGTTCTTGATACTACAACAAAGACATTATTAATCAGCTAAAAATCGCTGTTGGCATAAATTTCATGGTGAATGATAGAGATTGCAAGGGATTCATGCTCTAAAATCTTTCTGTATACAAAACTACATGTATGTCATAAAACATTCAAATATCTCACTGTAAACTATCAAAATGATTTTGTGAACTTGATTTTGCAGAATTTTCAGTCTAGCTTTTACTAATATGAGGTCATTGTTGAGAACTAACCTTTCTAGTAAATTTGGAGGTCTACACATCTGTTGTATCCTTCTCCAGAACCAGACTAACACAATCAGAACACATGGAAACAGGAAAGTCTTAATGGAGAACCATATTATAGTAAACCCTCCATTCTGATGAATTGTCTACAACAAAGAAACAGAATTATCTATATACAAGTAAGTCAAGAATATGTGTCTATAGGGCACCAGGGTTATAACCCTAATTTGGAATTAATTTATAAAAGTTCATAATGAATATGCGTACCAGTACTCAGTTTCAAGTTGATGAGACCACAATTTTATGGTAAACTTTATAGAACCAAAACTGATATTGAACAGACAGACAACTCACGAATTGAATTTGAATTACTTAAGCTACAAGAATATAAAATTATTCTATTACTTTAGCTACATGAATATAAAATTATTCTATTACTTTAGCTACATGAATATAAAATAATTCTATTACTTTAGCTACATGAATATAAAATTATTCTGTGCATTTTTCAGAACACTATATAGCAGAGGGTGCTTTAGGAATGATATTTTTTTTCAAAACATACAACATTGACAATTTTGCCTTTATAAATTACTGTAAATTTAGCTTACTTGGAATCAGGGGCTCTTTTTACAAAAATTCTTATTATAAAAATTGTTCATGACTTACAAGTATTTTTTCTCATAATTTTGTTTGTGAAATGAGTTGCAGGTAGTTTACTGCAGCTAAATGCAAGAAAAGACTTGTTATTTTTCTCATTATACCAATAACCTGGCAAAATAAGTATCCGAACAAATTGCATGCATATACCTGTATATTGTTTTATACCAAGAAATAGAGAACATGTATCTGAAACCCTCTGTGTAATGAGTGAGACTACTATATCCACTTAAACCTGGAACTCTTGAAATAAGCTGAATCAGCAGTATATAAGATGTTTAAAAGTAGAGTAGATATTGAGGGGAGGAGAGAAATATAATGTAACAGTCATCCCACAACAGATGATAGGTGATAGTAGATTTGAGGGGGGAGAGAAATATAATGTAACAGTCATCCCACAACAGATGATAGGTGATCAAAACATATACTAACCACAAGAGAGATATCATCAATCTGACCAATATCTATATTTTTCTCAGGACTGGGAGGGAGTCGTAGGTTCAATAGATAGTAATCATGGTGTAAACTGGAGATCTCAAAGGCATGAAGTAGTTCACAGTCATACTGAGACCCTGGTTCTGTCTGAAAAATAAATTGTTCTATCATTAAAGCAATTGATGAAAAAATGGCAATATAAAACCTAAAACTTTATAATGGTGTGTTTTTGTAGAAGACAAATCTTTTATATGTTATAAATTTTAAATGAAAATATTCCTATAGCCTTATGCCATAAACTTTGGTTAGTATGTTGTTCTTGGTAAATAAATTATAATAAACTGCTTCACCGAGCGCAGCTAAATACGACCGCAGAGTTCCAACCCTGAACAGTTGGGGCAAAAATGGACACAATATTCAAGCTTGATACAGTTCTGAATTTGGATTGGAATTAAATATTTGACACATTATAGGTTTCTGACACAGAATAAATGTAGTCAAAGAACTTAAAATTGGTTATATGATTTGAATTTATATTCAATTGAAGATTTCTTGCTTTTGTGCAATACACTGTGCTGTTGCGCAATACTTAGTAAATCTGTTTTCAGACTATATCCAAAGAATTAGCTAAATAAATTGTGACCCCAAATTTTTCTTTGGAAAATTGACAATTTCTTAAATCTTGAGGAAAAAAAGTTGTCCCCCCTTAAAAAAAAAAAAGATAGTAACTCCCCTTTTCCAAAAAAATATTTGAAGAAAGTTTCTTTTAAATTTCTTAAATCTTGTGGAAAAAAAAATTGCCCCCCCCCCCCCTTTCCAAAAAAAATAACATTTGAAGAAATTTTCTTTTTGTAAAATGTGGTACAATTTAAGAGACATCAATACACTTAAACACAAGTTATTGTCTGAAAACCAGAAAAATGCTTGTTTTAGACCCTTTTTGGCCCCTAATTCCTGATGGTTTGGGCAATTACCCCCAAAATGAATCACAACCTTCTACTTGTGGTATTGAACCTTGTGGTACAATTTCAGAGCAATCAAAATACTTATACACAAATAATGGTCCTGAAACTAGAAAAATTTTGTTTTGGGCCCCTTTTTGGCCCCCAATTCCTAAACGGTTGGGACCATCACTCCCAAAAACAATCCCAACCTTCCTTTTGTGGTATTGAACCTTTTGCTTAAATTTCATTGAGATCCATACACTTAAACTCAAGTTATTGTCCTGAAACCAAATGTCTTTGGATGACGACGACGCCGACGTGATAGCAATATACGACCCCAAAATTTTTTTGCGGTTGTATAAAAATACTCAACTTTAAACTGAAGACTTATTTTTTCCAATTTTCATTGTATTAATTTAAGTCCTAATTAAAATTCCTTTTTAATATTTTCTTGAAAAAAAAAAGACAGGGCATTTGACAGGCTTCATAGATCCCAAAACATGAAGCTAAAAATTAATCCATCCCAATAGCTACTGACAACATGATTTATAATCCTCTATTCTCTCTCTGTATTCTATAAGTCACTAACATTTCATGTGATATGTTATTCGGGTCTAAGACAAGGGATATAATAGAACATTCCCTGCTTAGGGTTTATATTCCCTGAGTCAAAGTCAAAATCAACATTAAGTGAACTTCATGTAATTCTACTTACATTGTAGCATCTTTTCCAAACACTAGAATTGACTATCAGATGCAGATCCAGGATTTTGAAAAAGGGGGCCTGCGGGCCCCAAATTAGACAAAATTTGTAGTGGAAGCAGTAAAAAGTCTGGATTAACCATAAATAAAGCTCAATAAGGGGGCCCCCGGCAACCCCCTAAATCCCCCCTTGACTATGAAATTTTAGGTGTCTATTTACTTATAGTTATTTCATTGATTCATCATAATTTAAGCTAACCTGTACATTAATGTAGTTTATACCTCATTTTTCTCATTATAAGCGATGGTACAGACAAGTTTTCTATCCTCGGCAGATTCTGCCAATAATTTCCAATCACCCTCTCTATCTCCTTCATTCCTATAACCAAGTCTAAAATCCAACAGCATTACTGGATTTGGTCCTAAAAACATTCTAGAAATAATTTATACATAATATATTTTAAGTGAACTATGCAGTGGTGACTGATGATATAGATGTCCTGGTATAACAACAAATTTTCGGCATATAAAGTGAGTTTAAATCTACAATTTTACAAACCCTTTGTGATGCTGCTTCTTCAGGTACAAAAATCCCTTTTTTTGCACATAACTTTCTCTGGATATTCAGTTCTTTTCAAACATTAAATAACTACACAATTTAAGGTGCAATTGGGATATAGATGTAGACACAAGTGAGTCCATTTAATTGTTCAAATTTGCTGACAAACCTGAAGTAAATCTGCTAAAAATGTTTTAAAAGAAGGTCATGAAGGTAGGGCCATTTAATATAATGGGCAGGGCTCCAAAATGAAAAGAAATAAAAGTTACAGATCAAAATTACATGCCCTGCACCCTATGAAAATAGTTTATATGTTTTCCCTTGTATGACAATGCTAATTTTTATTAAATAATATCTGTGTCTCTTAGACAAAGCACAAACACATCAAGATACATGTACATGTATATGATGTTCATGTTTAATCATAATCTTGACCCAAATTCTTTAACAATTGGTCAATCCAGTCTGCAACAAAATATTTTCCTAAAGTATTAGCCTAAAGACCAATATTCCAACACTTTTCTTATGAGTCTAAACAAAGTTTAACAAATACTTAATAGTCAGTCAACACAATATAATCCACTTACCAACAGGATTTTGTGGTTGATATATAATGTCAAGCTGCAATACAGACATCATGTACTGAAACCGGGGATGCATCTTCAGCTCATGTCCATCTCTAGGTCCAGGAATCCAGAATGCAAAAACAATCTGTTTATCAGTTATCCCTTTACTAACGATTTTAGCATCGTCAGGCCTTAAACTATCCAACTTCTCACAACTATTATTTCCCCTAGGTATATGCCACTTCTCTCTGCTAACATACCTGCCTGGGGCATAGCATTTTGTACCAATGATAATATTCACATTGTTAGGTTGAGGAGCTACAAGTTACAGCATAAAATGATGTTATTTACATGCATGCAGTGTTTTCCAAATTTTTTTAAGCAAAAGGCTTATTTACATTGTAACTGTAGGCTTTCTGAAGAGTCTGTATCACTCACTTGGATCTACATATGAGCATATTCAACAAGGGTTAAACTTAGTTGTTTCTTATGGTTTTGTTTTTCTTGGGCAACAGTATCTACTTCTGTTCCTAACTTTGCTAGTATCCTGTAGTAGCGAGCACATTTTGCCCCTGCTTTCCAAATTATGTAAAAACAAGAAGATGTGGTATCACAGGTATGATTGTCGATGAGACAACTATCCACCAGACCAAATGCTTAGATGTAAACAACTTGTAGTTGTATGCGCTTGTTCAAGTTAGTACACATGGCATCATGTTGGTAGCTGCACTGTGTGTTTTAGTTGTAAGACATGATCTAGAAGGGGAAACAGGGTTTGTTCAGTGATCGGGAAGGACGTGCGCCCTGCGCCAATTGCGCTTATCGACCAGAAATGGCGCATAGAGTGACAAATGTAAGCGCCCGCGTGGCGCATGATATTTTTCACTTCGTTTTGAAACGTTGAGATATCGTCAAATGGATTTCCGATCGTATTTCGTGCCGCCATGTGTGAGTAAACAGCTGTGTAGCCTAAGATCCTGGCCAACTGCTTGACAGACCTATCGACGAAGTATTAGATTGGGTCAGGATGCCAGGCTAACAGCTGTGAAGTGTTTACTCCAATGAGAGGAGCACCTATATATTTTTGGGACGTCTCAGGTGTTTTCCTATGGTAATAATAGCAAAATGCAGTATGATTGATTACCCAAAAAACGTAATTAACCATCATTCATGATATAATTTTTTATAAACAACTTTAAATTTGTGAAAATTGGCTAGTACAGGCGAGAATTCTTCTCTAATTATAATCTTTTAAGTAAGCTTGCTATTATTTTGATTGAAAAATCCAAAAACCTTTTTATGAATAGCATAGTATTTGTCTCCATAAAAGGGGCTTAACTGTCCTTGTCAATTTTTTTGGTCTTTGGCTCGTTTTGACGTTTTGTAAACATGCCTTCAGCGAATTGTTGTTGTGTCTTATCAATTAACGTTGCTCTCTACTGTTATTCTTGTCATCGTGATGAAGTAATAATAATACAAGTGCAGAGGAAATGCCGGAAACATCCTCTAATTCAGAACGTTTGGAATAAGTATGGTATCGACGAAGACCCAAATTTAATGTAAAAAAAACATGAACATGAACAAGGGAACAGTACCAGTTTTAACATTGTAAATAAAGGTTATTGTAAATATTGCCCGGTTTGGAAGAAGTTATTGTATATTCATTGAAATTGAAATTACAAAATCACAGGAACAATATCCATGATATTAATTAGAATCATACTTGTCAGTACAGTGAAATATACACTTTTTTTAATTTTTTTTATCGTAAACGAATGGCCCACTCATTTGACAACATGGCCCATTAATTCTAAAAATGGTCCATTGAATTTATTTTTGGGGGGCCCTGGGCCCATAAAGAAAAAATCCTTCCAGATCACTGTTTGTTTGTGAGTATTTTCATGAAAACTGGTTTATTTCAACCCCACTACATTTTGATTTTGTGATTGAACCAAGTCAGGCAAACTGGACAGGACCATTTGTTGTTTGCCTTTGTTTGTTAGTGGGCTGTTGTGCTGTGGTCACTATTACCATGATTACCTCAAATCCTAGAACTGTGGCTTGATCGAGTACTTAAGTTTGTCTGTGCCACATGATTATACAGGGTTGGCAAAACACCGGTTTTGATGGGCTAGGCAATAGAAATGGGTAATACATGTACTAGGCATTATGACTTTTTTAATTCTGTTTTTGTACACAAGGCAGAATACAATTAAGTTTTGCACATTTTTGGAAGCAAAAGTTTGATAGAAATCATTTTAATGTAATGTTATGGTGAATTGTAAAATCTAATTGCTATACAATCTCATTGCTTAATAAACACCCATAAGGGCAAATGTCATCCACACAAATACATTTATTAGAACAATTATAATTGTTGCCTGAATACCCCCTGTGGGACCTTGAGTGGAATTATAAATATTTAATTTGATTTGATTTGTAGAGAAGAAAAGGCTAACTACATTTGTATATACATGTAGTAATATCAACAAATCAGTGTTATAATCTGAATAATTCCTTATTAATTAATTAGTGACCACAGATGTTCAAGTAAATATGAAAAAAATGTTGAATATTCATTTTCCTTATTATAATTATCTGGGAACAGTATGTCTAACGGGAAATGAATCTGATAGGCTTTTCAGTATAAAATTGATAAAATCTCGAACGCGAGATTTATGGATTTTGGAAGCGTCTGATTGAACTGCTCAATAAATTAACCACATAATTCCAAACGTTCAACAAATACAATGAATTGATAAGTTTTATCGTAAAGTAGATATATTTTGTCATATAAAATGACCAATATACAAACAATGTAAGTGTGATTTAAATTATGTGAAGTGTTTTATAATGGTTTGTGAAATTCACGGTTACTGGGAATGCCATTGGCGCCATTTTTTTATTACCCCGTTTGCTTTCTGTACCCTTCTGTGATGAAATTTATGCGACTATGACAAATTTGAAGTGACAGATTACAAGTTCGATACACTGGCATCACTTATTACTTAGTTTGAATGACATTTTATTGATATTATCAGAAATTATTAAGATAATTGCAAGTACGTATTTTACACATGTCCCTTTCCGTAATGTGTCATTTATTAACTATGAACCAACGATAAAATAATTTAAATTGGCAATAATTAGGTAGTGTCAAGTCCTGTCAATATATATGTTCCTGTAATTATATAGTTATATTATAAATATTTAAATAAAAGATGAATTATTTTGCTTTATGATTTTTGACATTAAAAATTTAATGAGTTTATAGGAAGATTATCTATAAAACTCGCTAAGAAAACTTTTGTCTATGTGTGCATGTTCTATAAAACTCACTGAGAAAACTTTTGTCTAGGTGTGCATGCTTGTCTTAAAGTTTCTGGACCAATACTTTCTCAAATTAAGACACTTTATAAAAATAGTCTCCAACAAATGAACTAATAAATTTACAAACTATGTCTTATTCAAGTATATATATCTTGTATGCCTTGCATTTGCAATTGATCACTGAATCCTCTTAAAAATTCAGGCCACTATTTCATATTACCCAATAAAACCCATGTTTTCCAAGAATTTCCAGCTTGGCAATACTCATAAAATACAGAATTTTGGCAATATGATAATGTGTCTGTCTGAACTTTGTTTAGGGTTGTCTTTATCATATCTGATATATTTTCCGTCCTTGATGAATTTTGGTGATACAGGAGATGTCTGTTAAATTTATTTACTATTTACCTCAACTCAGTCTGATGGGGCAAATAAGTGCTTGTATAGACATTTGTGCACATTTGTGCATTGTTGATGACCGAACAATGATTTTAGTTGTTGGGCTACTTCCATTAACATACAATGAATACCCTACACCACATTAAACACAATTTGCTCAATCCTTACAATTGGTGCATGGCGGCACTTAAAGAAGAAGAACATCAATCATATAACTATTGAAAGATGATCAGAAGAACAGAAATAACATTTTCTAATCTACAATATTTCAATGATGGCAAACAATATACATAGTACATCTATTCATTAATGCTGGTTGAAAGAGACTTTGTTTGCACTCCCACTTTTCAACAAAAAAATACCAATAAAAAAGTTACAGAAGAAAAGATGACTAATTCAAAGAAATTTAAATTACACAGCCACAGGGTAACTTGGTACAAACTAATTATTATTATTTTAAACAAACAATTAAACCATTTTGAAACCGTACTCATTTTTGGGCATGTGCAATAAAAATAACTGAATGTTACATTGTGTGGCAAAAAAGACCGAAATAAGTATACTGCATTTTGTAACAAACATGAAAAAGTTTGTACCCAAATTATCCGAGTGAAAAAGATTGTGAGACTTACCTTGCAAACCACCAATTAAGAAAAAGGTTACAAGTAACATTAGCAATATTAAGCTGAGAATGATGAGTTTCTTCCAACTCAAGTTCTCCAAAACAACCCCAGCCATGTCTTCGATGAATAATCAGTCTTAATAACGCATAAAACGTGCTTTATTGCTTTCGCCAGCTCTTCTGTCTGAAGAAAGGACAACAGCGCCATCTGGTCTGTTTATGTCAGACGCTTCCATTTTTAGGGGTGTACTGAAATATGTAGGCCAACCTTCGCCCAAATTCCCGTTGTATTTCGATAATTTATAAGATAAATTGTTTCTACATCGGAGGATACAAAAAATCAAATTCGTTATAAAATGAATATACAAAGTTTGTGGACAAAAATATAGGAAAATATAAGTTTACGAAATAATTTTACCTATTCCTAAAAATAAGCTATCCCGTATAAAGTTGCATATGGCGGAGAATACGAATTTTACAGTGACTGAAATATAAGCAGAAGATTCCCAGTTCCCTATAAATAAGGTAATGTTTTTCCTTCTTTTCTTACATTCAACATTTGTTTAGTTGATTGGACATAATATTTTATTCATATTATATTTATATTCAATTGGTTAGTAGATAGTACACTGTCACTGATTTAGATTGTCCCCAGACTGCCACTGTGATACACTGATAGCGGACTCATAGCGACACTTAAAAAAGGAAATGTAATAAATTCGAAACTGAGCCCGGTGTTTAGTCTCTGTAGGTTAGTACATGGATACCTTGAAGTTAACCAGTGCAACAATCTTTTTAAGTCAAAGACTTTTTCCGCCGTCGCCTGGCCTTTTTTTTAAATCGGCACTTAAAGTTAACCAGCGAGGGACGTTAACCACCGAGGGTAGTAATGAATATTCATCTTTACTGGATGATTGACATCGATGTAAATAAAAACATGAGTGTAAATGCCGGAAATAGTTGCAATTACTATGTGTTATCGTCAGAGCACATTAGTTCATTTTAATTATTAGAAATCATGTTTTTGATGAAAATTGAAAAAACAAAAATGAAATTGAAATTGAAATTGAATTGAATTGAATTGAATTGAGCTATGTACAATACAGTAACAGTAGACACTTAACATATTTTGCATGATAAGTCGTGCTTTTTGCATGCATATTTGGTTATACTATGTACTCATTGTTTCCATACTGTTTTATGTTCAAATAAGACCTATATGTGAAACATTTATACACGATTAATATAAAGAAATGAAGTGGGTTCATACAGGATCATACAGTTAACGATTTTATAATGTACGAAAGCTAATACTACAATACTGTTTATCAGTAATCAACTTTCAATTGCATGAGTCGTTTGCAACGAAAATCAAAATACATAATAAATGCTTATGCAACTGTTGACATATCAGCGGAATTTTTAAACAATAAATATATTTATGTTTTAAGAAAAAATATTTTTTTTAATTACATTTTCAAAAATGATCTAAATTTGTTTGATATTTGATAACCGCGTCCACTCTGCACTTCATTTGCGCCTATTTTTTTTTCTTTCTGCCATTTGTTTTTCTTCATTTGCACCAATTAACAGGTAAACACAAGTCATGAGACATAGAAGATGTATAGAATTTATTGATAAAATAACAAAAATATCCCTACTGGCCTTCTGCCATCTGCCCCTTGTTAACCCGTGACGGGGAGGAGGAAGTGGAATTTTGAGCAGGATAAATTTATTGCAAAAGTTCTAAAACTGTATACATCACACTTAAAAAAGCAATTTATAAAATAAGATAGTAACAGTTTGACATCAAAGCATATTTACAAGTCTTCCCTTGTGATATCTTCTCTACAATATATCATATACTTTTTATTAAAAAAAGTCATTCTTTTCCCTTTTCATGTTATGTTACGGTTGCTGCCACGTTGAGAGATCTGATTATCATGTTTACATATATTAAATTAATGCCTGGATTTTCTTTATGACATCCATAAATTAAAGTAAATGTTCGGGTAACAGAAGTGTTTTATAATTAAATCAATGAGCTTAACATGTATCTATTAACATGTATCTATAACATAGACATGTACTCATTGAACTGCTGCGTTTGGTTAACCTAAGTGAATGTAATTATCTAAAATGTATCAGATCTAAACTGTTTGAATTAATTTGGCGCAAATAAAAAATTGATAATTGGCGCAAATGAAAAATAAACTATGATATTTCGATATTTTCAAAATTGGCGCAATTGATATACGCACATAATTTACCGATCACACTTAATTGGTTAGATTAAAAATAATATGATATTTAGATTTAAAAGCACCTCAGGAAATTGATTGATTGTTGTTTGCCATCAGTCCAGCGGCAAATATTTCAGCCAAGTTCGGGGAGAGAACTAAACAATTAATACAATAGGGATATAATGTTCCTGTAATCGGTCAATCGGAGTGAAGTGAGATAAATACGGAAATTTGGACTGCTACTTGCTAATAGTTTGTTTGGATATCGTCCCCCTTTTTTGGATTGACAAGAACTTTAGTCTTGCCAGAGGCGACCTCCGGATACCTCAACGATTTATTGATAGGGTTCTCTAATTGCGGATTTCATTGCACTCTCTCTACTCGAAGCTAACGATTAGACGTATCCCTTATTTAACGTGGATACGTATGTATACATCCTGTACAGCAAAAAGGACACCCCCCTTTGGAAATAATTTTACCAGCAAATTTGAAAATGCCGATTATTTTACTTTAATTTGGACACGTATGTATACATCCCGTACAGCCAAAAGGATATCCCCTTTGGAAATATTTTTACCAGCAAATTTAAAAATCCCGAGTATTCTAACTTTAATTTGGACTTTACCGTTTACAGATGGAAACCTGCATTTCAGCGTTAGGTAACAGTAACCTAAAATAAGACATCTCATGGATTTGAATAGAATTAAGAAACTAAAACAAATGAAACTGTTTTATGAATATCGTAAAATTATATTTGTAATGTTAATACTTTTCGATGCAAAAGGAATTAGAATTGTTGAGTTTAAAATTAAATTATCGGTATTATTTTAAGTAGGTGCTTCTACGTGAATTAAATTTCGAATATATATAAGCAAGGGGTAGTTAATGCCAGATTTAACAGACTGTTTATAGACTGCATATTGGAGTACTTTATTGTATTGTATCATATCCGACGGTAAGCATAAACAGATACAACCATTTCACTCCCTAAAATTTAGAACGTATGTAAAAGTAGCCCTACTCTGACAAAAAATAGTGCTTTTGGTGTCATTGTTTACTTTAACTAACCAAATAAATTCCAGAAATGAACTTTTGGCGAAAGAAAAATAAATATATATATAAACTATTTTGAGCTAAAAGTTACTTGTCTATGAGTTTGTATCTAAAATTAGGGATTAATGCGCTCCTTAGAGTCCAGAAAACATAGGGATTTAGGTGTAATACCACCAAATCATAGTACTCCGGTTGCATACGAAAATAGGTCGAAAAAAAATATTCCCTTGAATTTGACAGTTGTAGGTAATTGATCCTACATTTCATTGCAGTAAAACATTTCTAGGTCATAAACATATATCTTGGGTATTTCAAAGCACCATTATTTTTTTATTTGGAGTTTCTAAAGAATATTTTGGAAACTTGAGGTTACATGGTTACTAAAGCTTGTTAACCACCGACGGTAGGTATAGAAAAATACTGTTGATAGATAGTGCATATGAGTACTATATTGTATGTTAACCACCGACGGTAGGTATAGACAAATACTGTTGATATACGGTATATAAGAGTACTATATTGTATGTTAACCACCGACGGTAGGTATAGAAAAATACTGTTGATAGATAGTGCATATGAGTACTATATTGTATGTTAACCACCGACGGTAGGTATAGACATATACTGTTGGTAGACGGTATATAAGAGTACTATGTGGTATGTTAACCACCGACGGTAGGTATAGAAAAATACTGTTGATAGATAGTGCATATGAGTACTATATTGTATGTTAACCACCGACGGTAGGTATAGACATATACTGTTGGTAGACGGTATATAAGAGTACTATGTGGTATGTTAACCACCGACGGTAGGTATAGAAAAATACTGTTGATAGATAGTGCATATGAGTACTATATTGTATGTTAACCACCGACGGTAGGTATAGACATATACTGTTGGTAGACGGTATATAAGAGTACTATGTGGTATGTTAACCACCGACGGTAGGTATAGAAAAATACTGTTGATAGATAGTGCATATGAGTACTATATTGTATGTTAACCACCGACGGTAGGTATAGACATATACTGTTGGTAGACGGTATATAAGAGTACTATGTGGTATGTTAACCACCGACGGTAGGTATAGAAAAATACTGTTGATAGATAGTGCATATGAGTACTATATTGTATGTTAACCACCGACGGTAGGTATAGACATATACTGTAGGTAGACGGTATATAAGAGTACTATGTGGTATGTTAACCACCGACGGTAGGTATAGAAAAATACTGTTGATAGATAGTGCATATGAGTACTATATTGTATGTTAACCACCGACGGTAGGTATAGACATATACTGTTGGTAGACGGTATATAAGAGTACTATGTGGTATGTTAACCACCGACGGTAGGTATAGAAAAATACTGTTGATAGATAGTGCATATGAGTACTATATTGTATGTTAACCACCGACGGTAGGTATAGACATATACTGTTGATATACGGTATATAGGAGTACTATATGGTATGTTAACCACCGACGGTAGGTATAGAAAAATACTGTTGATAGATAGTGCATATGAGTACTATATTGTATGTTAACCACCGACGGTAGGTATAGACATATACTGTTGGTAGACGGTATATAAGAGTACTATATGGTATGTTAACCACCGACGGTAGGTATAGAAAAATACTGTTGATAGACTGTGTAATGGAGCACTGTATTGTATGTTAACCACCGACGGTAGGTATAGACAAATACTGTTGATATACGGTATATAGGAGTACTATATTGTATGTTAACCACCGACGGTAGGTATAGAAAAATACTGTTGATAGATAGTGCATATGAGTACTATATTGTATGTTAACCACCGACGGTAGGTATAGACAAATACTGTTGATATACGGTATATAGGAGTACTATATTGTATGTTAACCACCGACGGTAGGTATAGAAAAATACTGTTGATAGATAGTGCATATGAGTACTATATTGTATGTTAACCACCGACGGTAGGTATAGACATATACTGTTGGTAGACGGTATATAAGAGTACTATGTGGTATGTTAACCACCGACGGTAGGTATAGAAAAATACTGTTGATAGATAGTGCATATGAGTACTATATTGTATGTTAACCACCGACGGTAGGTATAGACATATACTGTTGATATACGGTATATAGGAGTACTATATGGTATGTTAACCACCGACGGTAGGTATAGAAAAATACTGTTGATAGATAGTGCATATGAGTACTATATTGTATGTTA